CGCACCCAGGCCCAGGGTCAGGGAGGATCTAGTCAGGGAGCGTCTGGAGGGACTGGACGTGTTCAAATCAGCGGGTCCAGACAATCTCCACCGCCGAGCGCTGAGGGTCATTGCAGGACCCCAGCACGGCTGTACGAGCACTAGTGGTGCTCTGGAGAGGTGACGGAGGACTGGAAGAGGGCCAATGTGGTTCCTATCTTCAAAAAGGGGAGGAAGGAGGACCCAGGGAACCATAGGCCAATTAGTCTTACCTCAATCCTGGGCAAGCTTTTTGAGAGAGTTATCCTGGCACATGTCCACAAGGGGCCAGCGGGGGATTTCATGCTTAGGGGCAACCAACACGGGTTCATCAGTGGCAGGTCCTGTCAGACCAACCTGGTGGCCTTCTATGACCAGGTCACCAAATCATTAGACGCAGGGGTAGCAGTGGACATCGTCTTCCTGGACTTTCGGAAGGATTCGACACTGTCTCTCACCCTGTTCTCATTAAGAAACTGGGGGGCTGTGGTGTAGACACCCCCACAGTCAGATGTGTCGCCAACTGGCTGGAGGGCCGCACCCAGAGAGCGGTGGTGGACGGGTCCTGGTGGCCTGTTACAAACTAGTCAGAGGGGACCAGCAGGCATTGGGGGAGTCCCTGTACTCCCGAGCACTGCCAGGAGTGACCAGGAATAACGGTCACAAGCTGGCAGAGGGGAGATTCAGACTAGACATCAGGAGGCGCGACTTCACGGTCAGGGCAGCTAGGATCTGGAACCAGCTTCCAAGAGAGGTAGTGTCGGCTCCTACCCTGGGGGTTTTTAAGAGGAGGTTAGATGAACACCTTGCTGGGGTCGTTTGACCCCGTACGCTTTCCTGCCATGGCAGGGGGCCGGACTTGATGTTCTGCTCAGGTCCCTTCCGACCCAACCAACTACGAAACTATGAAAACAGGCGTTTTCAGGAAAACACCATGCCTGAACCTCCCGTGACAACACTTCTAGAAAGAGAATTTGGCTTGGTTTTAGACAGACACTATCTAATATTAAACACAAGAATGGATCATCAAAACTGAAACCCTCATTATTCAAAACCAAAACAGAGTGTTTCAAGCTATCCAAAATGAATTGCAGGTTTCCCATCCAGAATTTGGAAAATTGGTCCATATGTAGCTTTCGGGGCTTGTTATTTTTCCAAAAATGGGACACCCGTTTCTTGCACAATGCCAGGTTTGTGCAACTAACACATTTTTTTTAACTCACCCCTGTCTCAAGTTCAACAATAAGACAAAGTGTTGAAGGCCAAGGTTGTAGAAATTATTGGTCCAATTCGCTGTTACCTGTTTTTGTCATCCCAAACTCCATAGCCGTTCTTCTTGTCGTTTTCCCATTGCCCCGTATACTTAAAGGGATGCTCAGCTGAGGTGTCTTCCAGGATGCCGAAGCCTTGACGCAGGTCATCCTTGAAGTATCCCTTGTAGACCATCTCATTTCCATACCTGTAGAAATCAATTGCTTTAAGATAGCACCTGCTGGACTGCTTACAGCTCCTGGGCTGAGGACGCTGTCTCTCTACCACCAGAAATTTGGTTATAGTCTGTAAAAAAGTTGTCTATTTTTTCCATCACCTTTCTATCGAAGGAACAGGCAGGTGAGACACTTAGTCATTCTGGTGGGACTGAAGGCTGAAGTCTAATTGCAGGCCAGGAGCATAGGCAAAGCCAAAAATAATGCAGCACATTAGAGCTGAGGTTCTCAACCTTTTTAAAAATTATTTGTGGACCCCTAAAAAGTTTCACATGGAGGTCTGGACCCCTTTGGAAATTGTGAATGGAGGCATGGATCCCTTTGAACTATAACTGTGGTTTTTCCCATACTTTTTGATCATAGTCATCTTTTGTGGACCCCTTAGACATTGTCGACAGACCCCTTGGGGTCCATGGACCGTATACTGAAAACCACCGTATTAGAGAAATTCTTCTGTTGCAAAGCACTCAGGGAGGCCATAGCAGCTCAGAATGGTTTTGACCCTCTGGATTCCTATTTAAAATTTCTGGCTTTATCTTGATGATCACATGTAGGTGTTTGCACACCGAACAGGGCTAATATTACACACTACTCCAGAACAACTTTGCTGCCACACTTCTGGGTTTAGTGCCAGCAGGGAGATGGATTACACTTGACAAGAGCACACCTAGGACTGCTAGAGCATGGATACGTCATGTGCTACGTGGCCTATTGATGTCTGGCAGTAGCTAGATTATAATTAAAAATGCTTTGAGAAATAGCTCGTGCACTTTAACCTGGTCCCTGATCCATCTGCCTTGTGCCAAGTATCGACTAGAAGACAGCATTTAATCCGTCTGAGAGCCTAGTTCAATCTGCTTGCCACTATTCACCATATGGGCTCAAACCATCCTGTTATCCAGTATCCTTTCCCTGAGTGCAGCGAACCCTTGATTCTCCAGAGACCAGCAAAGACACAATGCATGTAAAAAATACTGCTTTACTGGCCAGGTAGTACCCCATCTGACTCCTGGTAATACCCTACATACTGAATCCTGATGGATCACCCCATGTAGCCTGCATGTGTGCTACAAGTCCTACAGCAGGGAGGACAGCATGGTCCCATGATAGGGGTAGGCAGAAACACAACCTAATTTCAAAGCCCAGTTGGCTCTAAGATGACAGAAGTGTGTTAACTAGGACAGTCTTACCTGTTCTGGTCTTGATATGGTTAATACATTTGGGGTTGCAGACCAAAACTAGGGTTGTAATCACTCGTGCTAACCAGCTACCAATCTAGGCTGCACATCAAAAGTATACAAACCTCTGAAGAGACCTTGGTGGTGAAATCCAGTGGTCTTGAAGTTCAGGGAAGGCAGCCAAGGCTCATTACAGAGTTGCTTTTTGGCCTGGGTTACACCCAAACTCCCTAATGGGGTTCTGAAATGCATGCTAAGCCTATGGTAATAGGTTAATGCTACCCTGTCCCTCAAGCCTTTCAAAGGGAAACTGCAAATCCCACCATATGTTGCATTCTGTTCTTAAAATCAGCCAAATTCTTGGAACTGGGGTTAGAACCAGAACCAGAGGAAATGGTTTTATTCTTTCAAAAACAGCCTGCTTTAGCTCTCCAGGAGGATTACAATGCCCCTCTGAACAAGCACGTACATGGCTGAGGGACGA